TCTCTCTGTCTCTGTCTGTCTGGCAAGCACACATGCCCTATAGCAAAAAACTCTCAAAGAAAAAAAGAAAACTTTCTTTTTACACAAGGATATTGATCTTGGTATTCTCCCTTTGTTTCTCCTGAATTAACCATTTTTTCTAATTAAGCTTGCTCCATTAGCATCCAAATATGTAATGATTTAATTTTTTTCTAGGAAAGAAAAAACAAAAAAGATCTCTTGGTCCTATGTCCCCTGCAACGACTACACCAATTTACTATTTACAGCAAAACTTCTCGAACAAGTTATCTAACATTTACTGTCCCTAACATATTGCCTCCTAATCAAACTTGAACCAATCCCAAATAAAACTTTTGACTCTGTCAATCCAGTATAACAAGGTTATAATGGCCTGTACTGTGAATCCACCAATCAAGGCTTCTTGGTACTAAATCTATCAATCACTTGACATAGATGACCATTCTCCTCCTTAAAACACTTTTTTTTTTTTTTTTTGCTTAGTATCAAAAACATCGCACACTCATCATTTTCCTCCCACTTTCTAACCATCCCTTCTTAGTCTCAGACTCTTTCTAGCCTATAAAACTTGGAGTGCTCTAGAGCCTATTACTTGGAACTCCTCTCTACACATTCTCTGGTGATCTCATTCAGTTCTTGTCTTTAAGTACCACATGCTAACTTTTGCCAAATTAATCATCAGTAGGAGCCTATCCCCTACACCTGATGTTGCCACTCAGCTATGTAAAAGGCATTTCAAATTCAACACATAACAAAACTGAAGTCTTAACCTTTATTTCAAAGGCTGCTCCTCCTATAGCATTCTCTATCTCAAGTAAATAACAAATCCATCCTTCTAGCTGCACAGGGCAAAAACATGGAGTTATTCTTGACTCCTGCTTCTTTTGTACTTCACATTCAGAAAATCCCTCCTGTCTCAACCTTCAAAATATTGCACTGTCGGAAAAGTCATGACATATATTTTTCTGATTTTCTGTGCAAAAGTACGTCATGACTTTTCCCACAATCCAATGTATCCATAGCCTGGCCACTTCTTTCCAACACTGTCCCCTTTTCTTCTCACCATTATTAGTACAATAACTTCATAACTGCTCCCTCTTGCTTCCGTGCATGATACCTCTACAGGCTACTTCTCAATGCTACTTTTAAAAGTATATCATTTCTCATTCAGATGAAAAGCTGAAGTACTCACAATGGCCTACAATCCTCAACACCTGAGGCACCTACCTCTCTGACCTCATTTCCTGCTACTCCTCCTCTCTTATCCTGTCACTTTCATGACAATGCACCAAGTTGCTAATGCACTATACAAGTTCCTGCCTCAGTATTCCTGCCTTTATATTTTCTCCTACTCTGAAAGTTTTTCCTCCAATTATCTTTCTGGCTCATTCTGTTACCACCTTTAGGACTTCGGTCATTTATCACCTTCTACTGTAATTGAAGCTTTCACCTCCAAACCCATGTAGGTATTTAAAATTGGAAAATTCTCTCTTCCTGCAACCTAATTACCAACACCTACTACCTGCTCTTTTCTTGCCTTTTATTTCTCCAAGCACCTATAATCATTGGAAATAGAATATATTTTACCTATTTATGAGCTCATCTCATTAAAATACAGGCCCCAAAAGGGTGATGATTTTTGTCTTATTTTGTTCAATGTTGTAATCCCAATATAAAATAAATTGACTTCATAAAAAGTTTTTTAAAATTACAATAAAAATATTTGGAATAGCCTCTAACCTATGTCAACTAATAATTTGTAATCTACCTTCATCTCATTATCTTAAGAACTCAAATATTTACCTTCATCAAATATAGAAATTCCTAGCAAATGTATATTTGATGGGGAAGTCAAAGAAACACAGTATGTACCACAGTATGTACCATAACACAGTATGTTGGAACTAATAGAGGGTTCCATGTGCTACCTTAGTTCTACCTTGATTCCTTTGGAAGCACCTCAGAAGACAAGATCAGTTACAAAGGACCTTTAATGCTGATACCAATCTATTCAAGTCCTCAGAATTAAAGTAATTAGAAACCCAGGGCAGAAGCGGTAGAGAGGAAAGATCTCTATCTTAAACTTCTAGGACATGAAGAAAGTAAGCTTAATATTGCCCTCTCTAATCCTTCTGAGTTTGAATCATTTTCCAGCCATGCATGCATAGGTAATTACCATTGAACACGGAGATTTTTCTGGGCTAGTATATCATTTTAATATCAACATAAAGTCTTTTCTCTTTGTATTTTTTAATTCCATAGCAGAGATTATAGGAACTGCAATGTTTTGCTCAGGTCCCTTGAAGTTCATATTTGTGAATATAATAGTTACAAATATTGTTAAAATTGTTAGTAATAATACACTTGAGTGGATTTAAGCAATCAAATTTTGATACTGTAGAAACATTAACTTCTGACATTAAGGACTATAAGGAGGAAAGAAGCAATTTACAACTGAAGGGACATATTTCACTACAAGATTTAACTCCTAAAATGACAATATGGCAGTGATCACTGTCTACACATTAGTAAGACAGACCTTGTGCAAAAGAGCACCGCTGCATCATATTGTACAGGACCTGTAACTCATAAGGACAGTAAAAAAGGTGATATTCAGGCAGACGATCTGTCCTCTCATGATGGAAACATTTAAAATTGAGGGATCTCTCAATCACTTTCTCTAAGTGTTTACATGAAGCAGTGAAAATCTTTTTTTCGATCATGTGAAAAGAAATACCTAATTACAGGTAAATTCCTTCTGATATTTTTTTCTATTGAAGGTTTTACTATTGGAGTGATCTGGAAATGCATCAGCATGATTAAGATTCAAGGACATATGGCTAAATCCAATGATTCATAACCATCCTTATGTTCTCCTGCAAATATTCAGTAACAAATTTATATGTGGCATTGCTTTTATGCCCTATAGAAACTTATTAATAAAATGAAATTAGCAGAGACTGGATGTTAGTTGGTTAGTATGTGGAACAGGCTGGGGAAACAGGTGATACTAGTAACCTTGAAATTCCTTTCCTCCAACTCAGTTTCTATGTGATGCAATTACTATCACCTTTTACCCCCCCATACAATTTCAATTCTTCACTATTAACTTGAAGAGGAATATTTTACATTAATTTTTGAGAATTTAAGAAATAAGGGAATATATATGACTTCTACATGAAATACAATTACATGAATACATGAGAATTCAGGGATGCTAAGACCAAAGGTCTTTCAGTATTGTTATTCAGCTTATGTAGTGCCACTGCAATATATGGCCCCCCGAAACCATTTCTTCTATATCAGAACAATACCATTGGTTGTTTTAAGCTAATAACCTTCAAATATCTCTATTACAAAATCCTATTTAGGCAGTGTTTCAAAAGAAAAGTCTCATCTCAATTTCCAGACTTCCTAATTTAGCTCAGGAGTCCCTAAGACACATATTCTTTCCTCGTCCTTACTGATAAAGGACAAAATATTTAATTTGCACAATGCACTAGCATGCTTCCATCTAGCCTATGTACATAATTTAATTTGCTTCTTACCAACCTATTGGAAACAAGTGGCAATTATGTTGAATAGCACCACACTAAACCTTGAGCAGCACAGAATGCAAAAACAACCCTCTCTTCGCACATGACACTCTAATCCTAGTAGTAACTCACTAAGGGGAACTGATGACATAATTTTGTAAATTTCACTGGGAGCTATGTAGGAAGTCAAAAGAATGATTCTGCAGAAGGTAGCAGTAATGCTCAAACAATGCCATCACCAATGTTAGCAAACACACAAAAAAAAGAAGTCTTAGCAGGCACCCAATAATATTGTCTGTCTTTCAAGTAATATCTCTAAAGAACCTCAGAAATACGACCGAAACACAGCCTTGAACGGTCTGTCACACAAACGTCTCATCACAGGTATTTAACTGGGGCAATATTACAGAGCTAAAAAGGTCTTCGGCTCCTCCACCCCCAAAATAACCCAGCTTTAATCCCTATAAGTGGTGACTCACAATATACTCGTAAATAAACGCCACGTCCAGGTACAATGTTTCGCATCTTATTCTGTAACCACCACTAGACCAACAACCCAATGAAGCCAAGCCTCGCACTTCTCCTAAATCCCCAATAAGAAAATATATCACCATCCAAAGGCCTACGCAGTCCCAGGTTCTGATTTGCTCCTAACTGCACAATCTTAAAGCAAGACAAAAGGACTCTTTGCCCAGCCACCAACCGTCCCCGTCCAGCCACCACTCTCCTCCCTCCAACGCAAGCTCCCTCCGCATTCTCAGTCACCCTGGGAGGGTTGGCAAAGGTACCCTCCCCGCCCAGGCTGGGCCACCTTCCGAGCTCACAGCCAGCGAGCGGTGGAACCAGCTGCGCTGTGTGCCCGCACCTGGAATTCCAGCCTGGAGACAGACAGCTCTGGGTCACCTAATAGCCAAGCCAAGGGAAAGCCTGGCGGCCGCACTGAGTCCACACAGCACGTCCCCGCGCCCCGGGCTTAGTGCCGAGCTGCTTCCCTCTACTCAGTCCCACGCGACCGCTCGCCCCTCGCCCCCCGGCGCCCCCTGCCAGGCGGGCAAAGGATACAGTCCCGGCTCCAGAATGCCGCGGCGTCCGGGCGGGAGGGGCCCGCCACGTCCGCCCTCTTGGAACAACCGCAGCCGGGGCCGCCACGCCCCGGCCTCCAGGCTCAGTCCCCATTGGCCGCCCGGCGCAGAGACCCGCCCCCGCTTGCGCGGCCGGGCCCGGCGCGGAGAGAGGGTCCGGGCAGAGTGGAGGCTTCGGGCCCCAGGTGCGGTGTGCGGCTCCGGCAGGGGCCGCGGGAACGAGCGCCCCGCGGAACTGCTGCTGCCGGACCAGCCCGGGCCGCCCATCTGCGTCCCGCCGAGCTCTCAGGCGCCGAGAACTACAGCTCCCGGCATGCTGGGAACTGGACGGCCGAGGCGCTGAGGCGGGGTCCAGCCGTCCCGCTGACCCTCGCCGCTCTGTCGGCCGCGCGCGGAGCTGGGACGCGAGCCATGGAGGAGGCGCCGCCCCCGCTGCTGGGCGGCAATAAGCCGCTGCTGGAGAAGCTGACCCTGGGCATCACCCGCATCCTAGGTCAGTGGGGGCGGGGGCTTGGGACGAGGGCTGGACGGCCGAGGCGCTGAGGCGGGGTCCAGCCGTCCCGCTGACCCTCGCCGCTCTGTCGGCCGCGCGCGGAGCTGGGACGCGAGCCATGGAGGAGGCGCCGCCCCCGCTGCTGGGCGGCAATAAGCCGCTGCTGGAGAAGCTGACCCTGGGCATCACCCGCATCCTAGGTCAGTGGGGGCGGGGGCTTGGGACGAGGGGTGTGGAGAAGGAAGGTGGAGCTGCGGGCTGCGCTGCGACGCCGGACGCAGCACACGCGTGGGCAAAGCTGCTGTGCTTTCCATCTGTATAGAGGAAAGAGCCACGGGCCTGGAAAGGCAGGCGGATGCAGAGCTGGGAAGCCGAAGGTTCCCGCGACCCAAGGTCCCATTCCAAGGCTCAGGAAGAAGACCCGCAGACGTGCAAAGGGGAGACATTAAGCACAGTTGGGCGCTTGGGTCACTTGAAAGCGTTCTCAGTTGAGGCAGTGTGCGTGAAACGCACACCCTTTTGGTAGCAGAATGAGCTGGGGATATGATGCATATCCTCTCCGAGGGTAAAGGATCCCATTACCTGCAGTAGGTCGGGAGTCAAAGCTTGCACCACTGAATGGGCTAGTTTTTGTACTAGCGAACGTTTATTTAGTAAGCACCACCTTGTTGGACTCTGGGATTGCAAAGATGACAAAGACACAGATCTGTGAAAAATAAACAGTAGGTTGCTAAAAGTGTGAAAGTAGGTTAGTAATCAATCTATTGTTGCTTAGAGGTAGCACAGAGGAGGGGATGATGACTTTATTAGGGAAGTTAAAGACATGTATGGGAAAAGATGATGCTAGATTTTGAAAGACAAATGGGAATTAGAAAACTAAGGAGAAAGGCCTGGATAGGCTGGAAATGCTTCAATGCCCTCCCATCACAATTACAATAAAATCTTAATTTTTTTTTTTTTTTTGGAGAGATTTTCACTGTAGGGCGCGTGCGCTCGCCATACAGACAGAGAGAGACATAGAGACAGAAAGCGAGAAATCACCCCCCAGGGGGGATGGTCACGCCGCAATCCCTTCTCCTCCATTCTCCTCTCGGGATCTTGGGCACGCACGCACACGTGCCCCGCGTGAGTTTTAAGCCACCGGGTCCGGGACACGAACCGCGGTCGACTACGTGGGAGTCCAGCGACATAGCCATTACGCTAACTGCTGGTTCCCAATAAAATCTTAATCTTAATTTTTATACTATGAGCCACAAGTTTTTGTATGCTCTGCTCTCATCTGCCTTCCTGACTTTATTTTTCACTCTGTTATGGACATGATGTCCTTCTTGCTGTTAATGTTAAGGCAGTGACCTTAAAACACACTAAGCTGGTTCTTGCTTCAAGCCCTTGACATATACTTGACCTCTTTCCTGCAATGTATCTTCCTCTGAATGTGTCTCTTCATTCACATCTGTGATCAAATATCATGATCTCAGAGAAGACTTTACTGAATATATAATAGTTCTAATCATAAGCTTCCCTGTCTCTCTTCCCTTACTTTATTTTGTCCCTATAGCACTTATCACTGTTTGAACTTATGCATCTATTTGGTTGCTTATTTTATTTGACTGTCTCTTTTTCATAATAGAAGTCCAAGACCAAATGTGATTTATCCTAGGAATATAATAGTTTAACATGAAAGTCAAGTAATGAACTACATCTTGCTAATAGATTAAAAAACCAAAACTCACATAATCATCCTAATAGCTATATAAAAAGAGCATGACAAAAATCCATCACCCTTTCATGATGGGGAAAAAAAAGACAGAAACAAACAAACAAGCAATAGGGTAGAACAGAGAGAGAACATCCTTAACCTAGTACAGGGCACCTAAGAAAAACCCACAGCTAACGTCATACATAGTGGTGAAATCTGGCTGCTTTCCCTTTAACGTCAGAAACAAAGAAAATGTATCCAGGGAAGCCCAAGACCACATCCAAAAACAAACTCACATTTATGGTACACTGATTTTTGATAAGGATGTCAAGACAGTGAAATGGTTTTTTAAAAAGTAGTCTTTTCAATAAATGGTGCTATGGCAAGTGGCTATTCACAGGTAAAAGAATGAAATTGAATCTCAACCTCAAATCATACACAAAAACTCCAAATGGAACTTGACTTACATGTGAGAGTTGAAACGTTGAAATTCTTTGAAGAAGTCTTAGGCCTTAGGTGAGTTTTTAAGTGACTTTGGATTAGGCAATAGATTAGGAATAACAGAAAAAGATAAATTGGACTTCATCAAAAATAAAAATATTGGACCAGCCAGTGGCATGGTGGTTAAGGTAACTAGATCCAGCTTAGATCCAGGCCCCCATGGCCTACTGAGTAGTTCCAGTTTCAGCCGTGGCAGCTTGGAAAACACACTGGGCACACGTGTACATGCCCAAAATGCCGAGGGAAAGCCAAAATTCCAAGAGGAGAATGTAAGACATGGAATTGAAGTATGGCCATCCCCTGCTGTCGGGGATGCTGTCTCGTTTTCCCTCTCCTCTCCCCTCCCTTCATCCTCACCCCAAGCACATGCTCCCTACAGTACGTACGGACACACACAGTTTGTGATTTTAAAGGTAGCATCAAGGAAGTGACAGGATAATTCACAAAATAGAAAATATTTACTCATCATATGAAAAAGGTTTTATAGGATGAGTCTATAACAAATTCTTACAACTCAATGATAAAAGACAAATATGCAACTTAAAAGTATCTGAGTGAACATTTTTTCAGAGAAGATATACAGATGGTTAGTAAACATGTGTAAAGATGATCATGATCAGGACCAGCAGTTGGTGTAATGGTAATGTTGCTGGACTCCTGCATGGCTGACCATGGTTCAAGTCCTGGACCTGGAGGCTTGAAATTCATGCCCGGCGCATGTGCGTGTGTGCCCAAAATCCAGAGAGTAGAATGGAGGAGAAGGGATTGTGGCATGCCCATCCCCTCTGGGGGTGATTTCTCACTTTCTGTCGCTGTTTGTCTCTCCCTCATGCACACACGCCCTATAGCAAAAAGTCTCTAAAAAATTGAAAAAAAAAAAAAGATCATGATCATTACTCATTAGAGATATATAGATTAAAATCACAATGAGATACCAGTTCATACTTACTAGGATGGCTATACTCAAAAGAAGGACATAACAAGTGTTGGAGAGGTTATGGAGAAATTGAACCCTCATATACTGCTGATGGGGATGTAAAATGCCATAGTATCTTTGGAAAAGAGTTTTGCAATTCATCAAAAGTTTAAACGTAGGGACCAGCAGTTATCCTAACGGCTATGTCGCCGGACTCCCACGTAGTCGCCCGCGGTTTGAGTCACAGATCCGGTGGCTTAAACTCACACTGTGCGCGTGTGCGTGCGTGCCCAAGATCCCGAGAGGAGAATGGAGGAGAAGGGATTGCGGCGTGGCCATCCCCCCTGGGAGGTGATTTCTCGCTTTCTGTCTCTGTCTCTCTCTGTCTGTCTGGCAAGCGCACGTGCCCTATAGCAAAAACCTTTCCAAAAAAAAAAAAAAGTTTACACATGGAGTGACCATATGACCTGGTATAGGTATATACTCAAGACAAATGAAAAAATACTTATACAAAGACATATGTACACAAATTAGCAGTATTATTCACAATAGGTGAAAGTGGAAACAACCGAATGTCCATTCACTGATAAATGGATAAACTAAACGTGTATGCATACAAAAAAATATTCAGCCATTAAAAGTAATAGTACTGATATATGCTCCAAGAAAGTGAAAGAAGCCTGTGAGAACAGCCACATGTTGCACGATTTCATTGATATGAAATGTCCAAAACAAGAGGATCTATGGAAATTGAAAGTAGATGAGTGGTTGCCAGAGGCTGAGAGGAGAGGAGAATGGGAAGTGGTCGATTATAGGTACAGAATTTCCTGTTGGGCTAAGATGTATAGGTGAATATTCTAAAATCCACTGAATTATATACATTAAAGATGTGAAGTCCATGGTATGTAAATTATACCTCAGTATAGCTATTTTTGAAAGGAAGGAATTCTGAAAATAGCCCTGTGAGAATTACTGCTCTAATTCACAGGGCTGTGAAGCCAAGGGGATATCACACCTTTGGTTATCCTATGCTAACTGCCACAGGGGACGTTATCCAGGTGAGCCCTATCTAATCACCTAAGCCCTTTAAAACAGGCTGTTTACAGAAAGGGAAAGCAAAGAGATTGGAAGCTAAAAAGGACTTGCTGACGTGAAGCTGGATGGGACCGTCCGATAAGGAATACAAGTAGAAGCTGAGAGTGGCCCCAGCTTACAGCAAACAAGGAAATAGACTTCAGTGCCACAGACAAGAAGGAACTGAATTTTGTCAATAACAAGTTTGTGAGATGACCCCAAACTCCGGAGAGCTTAACAGCTGACACCTGAGCAGTCAGCACACCTGGTGTAATGGTAGATCCGTGATTTCAGCCTGAGCCGAGAACCCAGTCATGATTCTAAGCTTCAGAACTGCGACTTATTGAAGGGATATTGTTTAAAGCTGCTAATTTGTGATCATTTATTACTCAACATCAGAAAATTATCATATTTCCCCCAAATGTTTTAAAGAGCAAATGAGAAGCAGCTCAAAAAGAAATGCAGGTTGAATATAATATACATAATTATGAAATAAATGATAGAATTAAGATCATAATAATAAATAGGAATTGGACTTACATCACCTATTAATAAAAACAAATTAAATCTGGCACACAAAACCCAACTATATTCTGTTTCAAAAAAAATCCCAAAAGCAAACTAATTTGTAAATATTAAATATGAATGCATGAAAGATGAATGCATGTTTCTGAGGTCCCACAACCACTCACATGTTTAGGGATTCACAGGACTTGAGACAATACTGGCTATAATTTATTATACTGATCAGCAAGATGAAAAGACATAAAAAGGGACTTGAAAATGTGTGAGGTTTTTTTTTTTTGGTACCCAAAATTTTTGAAATTCATGCTGTTTTGTAATAACACACATTTTCTCTGAACTTTTTAAAGACCTCTTGTATCAGGTGGCATCTAGAGGAATCTATGCACAGGCTTTTCCAAAACTGAGTTTTCCCTCCTGTGAGTGGTCACATGAAATATACCCCTTCCTCATAAAGTGATATGCAGTGTTTCTACCCAGGGAAGACT